GGGGCGGGAGGGTCTGAAACCTCGTAACTTAAGCTATGTCCTCTCCAGCCTTGCTGATGACCCCCTTGTAATTTCAACCATTTCCATCTAGCTTCTCAGGGCAGCAAGGAGCTGACCATGGGTCTCCTTTTCTCAACTCCATTTTCAACTCCGTGCTGAAGAAGGGAGAGGACATAGCGTGCATACGGTGAAGAACCGGGAAGATGGTTGGGAAGCTGGATGATGCATGAGCAATATAATAGGTGAAAAGAGGACAGAGGTGGTTAACTCATTGATGCCGACGTTATTTTGGTGCGTCCATTGCCGGCAATGGACGTCGCTCCGGGAAAATCCCAGCTCCTGGCATGAAAGGATTAAGTGAGCTACCTTTTTCTATACCTCTATACACAGGCCTTGTAAGTCCTCGCCTTACAGGGCTCGTACACTCCGACTCCTTAACCCACAAGGAGTGTTGGCCGCTGCTCCACACCCACCACAACACACGCTCACTCACACTCTCCGGCGGGGTAAGTTTTCAGCCTGGGCTTGTGCACGCCCTTCCCGCTCTCCGAGGAAGCGGTGCATATCTTCTCCCACGCTGAAAACTCACTCTGAGTAGCCAAGACTGGTTGGTGGGACACCCAGCAGGGTGCAGGTGGTGGTTCAATGTGGTTCTTCCCAGGCGTCTTAGCCCGCTCCAGCCGGAAGATTGCGCTCAGGTAAGGCTCCGTGGACTGATCCGTGCAGCCAGCCCCGTGATGGAGGTGACGCGTGGCGTGGTGGCCGACAGACCTGGTGCTCTACCCTCTGGGCAGCACAGGAACGAGCGGTAGGGTCAGCGCTGTCAAGCATGGCAAGCTCTTCTCAACCTCCTTTTGGTGGCTTGTGTGTCAGTAGCTAAGGCTGAGGGACAGGAGAGCACGTTGGGCTTCAAGCATAGCGTGTCCTTCAGCAGCTCTGGTGTTTCAGCGTGGTTGGGCCCTTGGGGTTTCCTTGCTGTTCATGCCAAAGCGGGGCCTGGAGGTCCTCCAGCTCCCCTCCCCAAGCCGTAAGCTTCTCGTGAGGAGCCCTTCCATGTCTCAAATCTGTCCCGTGGCCAACCCGTGGGCTCTGCCAGCTGACCGATGCCGCGGGAGCACGACCGGCGTGGCGGCGCCGGCCGCCGCAGAACGTCCCACCATGCTAGTGTGGTTTGGGCGCCGCGGGGTGGGACTGAGCTTTCGGCATCTTCCTCCGCCCCTGGGTGGGCAGAGGATGCCCTCGCCGCCTGGGGAGGGGGCAGGTAGGAGCTGTAGCTGTGAAGATCCCCAGACCTTGCCCTTGGGAGTCGGGGAAGATCTTTTTTTTGAGAAAAACCTCTTGAAGGAGCCAAGTGTCTTGGGTTTAAAAGGTTTTAGTCGGACACTTCCAACCTCACAAGTATTTAGCAGTGACTTGGAGTTCAAGGGTGAGGTGTTACCCCAGCTTTGGCCAAGGTGGACTTTCTCTTTTGCAATGAGAACACCCGTTCTCTGCGCTTGGTGCTCAGCCTGAGTAGGGATGGCAGAGCTTGAGTGACCCAGGCAAACCGAGCTGTCGCCCTCCCGTGAGATGGTCTTTCCAAACCACGTCTGATACGTCTTGATAAGGCAGCCCTGTGAAGCTGCGTTTGCCCGTCCTCCTCCCAGACGAGCCGCTCTGGAGCGACTGGCTCTCGCTCCGGCACGCACGTCGCTTTGATTAGGAGGCTTCTAATTTGTTAGAACTTGGAGCAAAAAATAGTTTGTGAAAACAATAGGTGTTGGTGAGCGGCCAGGCCGTTGCTTGTGGTGGGGTTTTTGTCCTTCGAGCAGGGACGTCGTGACTTTTAGTCCTTTCTCTTGCTCTCCTCCATCCCTTGGCATCGTGCTGGAGCTTCGTGCTCGTGCGGAGGGGATGGGGAGCTGCAGAGGAGAGGAGCGTCGCAGGAGGGAGGAGAGCAAGGACGAGGAGATCCAGCCCTGGCTGGTGGAGCTTTGGGTTATCTGGCCTGGTAGGGGATGGGTTCACTTGCGTGGTGTTTCTTCAGCAAATCGACAACGTAAGAGCACTCCAGAGCAGCTAGGTGAGACCCCGCGGTCCGCAGGCCGTCTTGCCTTGGAGCACGTAAGCCCTGGCAAACGTGGCGAGCTCCGGCGGGCCGCAGGTGCCTTTCCAGCCCCACATCCAGGCGTGGGATTCAGCCCCTCAGCCTCACCCTGGTCGCCGGTTGGGTGGCCGAGGTGTTGAAGCTCGGACGCGCGGCTGGGTTGGCGTGGGTCGGCGTATAAGAGCGGTCACCCCTTTGCCAGCTGTGCTTGCGTTGGCCCGAGCACAAGATGAGCCTCTACCTGCTTGTGCTGCTGTTTCCTGACACCAGTGTCCGTTGGTCTTCTCCGGTTTAGTCCCATTAAATCCGAAATAATTGGCGGTTAAGGGACGGATCTCCGGAGAGCTTTCGCTAGGCACGGTCTCCCTTTCGTGCCGCTGCATCCTTTGAGCGTTGAGACCGTCCTGCAGCTCTCGCGCCTCTCCCAAGGCGAGGATGGTTTTGTGTCCGCAGCTGGACAGCCTCAATCCTGTTATTTCTTCCCTTTTGCTTGCAGCAGCCGTGTATCCCTTTTCTTTCTGCATTCAATTTTCTGTGCAGTTCGTTAGGAGTGGCCCTGGAAGGTAGGGAGCCATTTGGACTCGCTTAGTGGCGGTCGCGTTGATGGAGCAGTTATGTCCGCTCAAAGCCAGCAGCTTCCGTTTCCGAAAAGAAACCAGGCTTTTCTCCGGAGTTCCCCCTGGCTCGCGTCGGGTTTGGCCACCATCTGGTTTTCATGGAGCAATTCTGACAGAGTCCTCCGTTTCTTGCCGGTTCAAAGACTCTGGTGCCTCCGTCTTTGCCAGACCGGTGCTGGAGGCTCTGCAGCCCGTGGCGTAGGTCCGTAGCGGCTCTCCAGCAGGGTGGAGCTCGCTCCCCGCTTCCTCGTGAGCTTTTTGAGCTGCTTGTGCCTTTGTCAGGGCGATCCAGCTCGATGGGGTGGATCCTGCCATGGGTTCTCCCGTTTTTCCCCCTCCAGTGCCTCCTGTCAGGGTGGTCACAGCCGTGTCTTGCAGACGCTTTCTCCTGCCGAGGGAGGGCAGATGCTTTCTTGCCCCTTGCGCGTTCAGCCGTCTCTGACCTCGAAGCTTGGGCTCCGTTGTCTCCGCTGAGCCGGAGTCGCCGTATTTCTCAGCTCCCGCAGCTGCGCTTTCGGCGTCGCGGGGAACCCAAAGCCACGCGCGGCAGGAGCGGGCGGCGCCGTGTTTGCCAAGTCCGCTTACTCAAGGTGGCCCCTACGTTTCTTCCACGCAGGTCAGCTAGGGTTCCAGAATGTGATTTTTGTACAGGTTTTTTTATGAGTGCGGTTCTTGAGGAGTTGTATAGGAGTCCTGAGATGAGGCAAGAACAGAAAAAAATATATATTTTGCAGGGAAGAACTTGGGATTTTTATTTCTCCAGATCAGAATAGCGCCTTCAAAATTTTTACTCGAGTCCTTTACAAATTCTGTTTGGATTATTTGAACTGTTTTCTCTCCTGGAACAGTTTTTTTTTCAGCCTTGGTCAAGCTTGCCCTGAGCCAGGTTGGTTTCAAATTATAGCGTTGTACTAAGAACGTTTCACCCCAAACGGTCACCACTGTTCTGTTGAGAAGATGCTGGTCCTTGCATTGCAAACCACGTTATCACCAGTTTGACCATTATCACCCTATTCCCTTTTTCCCAGTAGTTTCCCATTGCCCATCCTGCTGTTTGATGGGACAGATCTTTTTAGGAGCTGGGGAGGCTGGTCTGGCTTAGCTCTTCCCCCCGCTTGCCTGCTGCGTTGTCCTTGAGCTGTCCTGGCTGGGTCATCCATCATCATCTCGTGGCTTGGTGGCTCCTCCTCACACCTTCTCCCCTGCTGATGGGAACGCCGCTCGGGCCAGGTGTGGGGTGACTTTTTGGACGTGCCGCTCTGCGGGGTGCCGGAGGATGAACGGTTTGGGGGAGGTGATGCGGGAGAGAGGAAAAGAAGGAAGAGAAACCCTGTTGCTGGTGGGTGCTTTTGGGTCTGCGGAAGCTGCCCTCGTGGTCTGCTCCTTCCTGCACGAGGGAAAATCATCCCTGCCGCGGGACGGCGAGTAAACAGCGTTGTAAAGACTTTAGTGTCCCAGCTGGCTCCTCCTGCAGCCCTCCCTGCCCCCAGCAGTGAGCCGCTGCCTCGTTTCTTTGCGTTTCCTTAAAAACACGCTAGCTTTGGGGTCTTTCGATCCATAGGAAAATGTGTAAATAGATAAGAACGATTGAAAAAGGGCACGTTTGCAGGCTCTTGGTGCCTCTCCTCATGGCATGGGTATTTGCAGACGCCTCAGACCGCGCGTGGTTGCTGCCTTGTGGTCGGGCTCCACGGAAAAGCAAAATAGGTATTTAAAGAAACAAAAGTCTTGGCCAAAATCGCTTCTTTTTTAACCTCCAGCAGCACTTTTGAAGTGCTTTTGTCTTGTGAGCAGGCCACAACGGGGTCTCTTTATACTTTCATTTATTTCACGGAAGGAAATGGGGCACGTGGGATTTTTTTTTCCCTCGCCCAGTAAAAGTGGGATTCTCAAACCTGGGCGCTCTGGTTAAATCCGGCGCTGGAGGCGGGCGCGTGGCTAAGGAGCGATGCGGTGTGGGGCGGGCGGGCAGCCCAGCAGAGGTGGCAGTCACTTCCTTTCCAGCCAGCTTTAAAAAATCGATTTTATTTAGAAAACGAACACTTTCTAAGTCTGAAAGTCGAGTTGAGGTAAAGCTTCCTATTTCTGAGCTTAGAGAAGCACTAAATACCCGACTGGAAGCAGCCGTCACTCCCCAGTAACAGTTTAATTCATCTTTTTCTCCTCTCTGCCTCATCCATGCCCCGAATTAAAGGATATTTTAGTGCTCTAGAGAAGATCCCCGGTGTTTTCCCCACAAGGCATCAAGGTGCGATCAGTGCCCGTGGCGTCGCATCGGCCATGAAGAGTTAAGGCTGTTCGGAGGCTCGGGTGGTCACAGGTCACAGGTTTGGGGAGGTGGCTTTGCTCCACCTCCAGTCCTAGGAAAACACAAGCGCTGCCCCGGGAGAGCTGGGATCTCAGCGCGCCGCACCAGAACAGCTGCTTTGTGTAGCGCTGGGTGTCTCTTTTTTTTTTTTATGGATTAATTGTCTTTTTTGGGGGGATGCAGCTGCAGCCTCCGTCAGGGATGCCCCGGATTTTCTCTCTCTGAGTTTTCATAGTTGGTTTCTTTGATCTTATTTCCTTTTGCCTGCCCATACCGGTCGTATTCCGCCAGAAAACAGCTAGTTCATCACCTTCTGCTTCAAATAACTGGGTGTTCTGGTGGACTGCCGTGTTACTTCAGGAAGGGAACAGCTCAAGAGCTTGGTACAGACTGGAATTAAAGGACACCGAGCTCTTTCTTCCGAGCTACCAGCGCCTGGACAGTCAGTAGTGCTGTAAAACCTCCCTGTACCTTCTACACGCTGTAGGCTCGTTGGCATCACTGATACGACAAAATGTCATTGACGCCGTGAGTGTCAGAATATTGGAATGAAAAATACGGTGGAGAACGCGGTGGCGCCAATAGGACTTGTTTGGTGGTCTGTAGTGACGCACGTTTGTGTGACGTGACATCAAAGTGGCTGCGTGATCCAGTGGCCTTTAACCAGGACACTGCACTGAGCTGTGGCAGCCCCAGTCCCAGCACTGGCAAGACCAGGACCCAGAGGAGCTCGAATCCTCATTCCCAGCTCCTGTCCTGCTTCCTTAAGTTAATGGGACGGTGGTGGGTGGGCAGAGGGTGCCCTAAAGGCCCTCGCAAGGCGCACAAAACCTAGTTAAAAAAGCAGCTCGCACCGTAAACCCCACAGGTCAGCAGGCTTGGAGCTAAGCTGGGTCCCGCTCAGGCTTCTGAACCACCACCTGCCTTGAAATACTCATGGAAAAAAAACCCGGGTTTGTTGGAAATGCGTGGCGTCGTGGCAGGAATCGTGGCAGCGGTCGGATATGAGAAGGTCAAAAATGCTACGAGCAAGGAGGGGCGGCCTGAGAGCGTTGAACGGGGAATTCCCTCGGTGCTGCGGGTGGGATGGGGGAAGCACAGGGGACCAGGCTGGAGCTCGGTGGCACCACGAGGGCTGAGCTTGGGGGTCTCGGGGGCGCAGAAGCGCGTTGGGTGTGCGGCGTGACCTGCTTTGCCTCGAGCCCTGGGTGCCCTCCGGCATCGAGAGCACGCAGGCGGCGGCTGTGGTCGCAACAGGTCCCGGTCCCCGTCGTGATCCCCGTGGATCCGCTGCCCCGTGCTCGGGGCGGGGGGGTTCCCCAGGTTTGGCCGGGCTTGGGGTGGGCCGGACGGGCAGCGGGCAGCGCGCCCGGGCTGCGGCAGGGGGGGGAAGGGGGGGACTA